TTTCTGTCAGAGATTAGCCAGTCACCCATCTCACTCTCTCTCTCTCTCTTCCTCCCCATCTTCTTTCTAATCCTGAGTCCTGACCTTTATCATCTTTCCCCATCCCTTGAGCATCCGCTCTCTCTGCCCTTCCTGGTCATTTTGGGTTAGTTTTTTTCAGTGACAGGGGTTTGGCCGTGGAGGGACTGTGCCATTGCCCCAGATTCTCCAGCATGTGGAACTGTGACATAACCACAGACGAGGGCCGTGTGTTATACAGAGCATAACATCAAGCTGTGAGTGTGTGCATGTGTGTTTGGGTGCGGAGGAGAGAATGCACATGTATTTGTGTGTTTTAATTCGAATGATAATGTATTCCCCGAGAGGGATTTGTTTTTGTGATTTGCAAATTGCGTTCTGCAAACACTGTTGTTCTCATGTTTTCCCCTGCGAACAGTTTAAGCCACTGATCAAATTATAAGAGCTGTTAACCCTCTTCACAGTAATTGGTTTAGAGAGAGACAAAACCGGCGAGTCATGGAATCTATTTACATAACAATACAGACAAAAACAATAGCACAGCAAAAGAAAAACAGACAGATATAGTAGAAAATTCTTAGTAATAAAAACAAAGATTCATTCTATAAGTTCAATAGTCTTAAAATGAATTGTAATTATTTTTATCGAGTTACTTATTTTGTAATTGAATTCTTTTAATCTTTTAAACCGTATTTAACATTCATTCGTGTTATTTTATTTCATAAAAAGTAATACTTTTAATTTAATTGTAAATTATTTTATTTTATATAGGCTACAATTATATACTATGGATATACTATCAAATTTAAAAGGTATCATAATTTTGATATATACATAAATGTAAATGTATACATACATAAATATATAGAGAATGTAAATCTACATAATCACAGGTTATAACAATGAAGCAGTGTTATGCAGTTGTCTTACCGTGCAAAGCATCATATGGAATCTATTTACATAACAATACAGACAAAAACAATAGCACAGCAAAAGAAAAACAGACAGATATAGTAGAAAATTCTTAGTAATAAAAACAAAGATTAATTCTATAAGTTCAATAGTCTTAAAATGAATTGTAATTATTTTTATCGAGTTACTTATTTTGTAATTGAATTCTTTTAATCTTTTAAACCGTATTTAACATTCATTCGTGTTATTTTATTTCATAAAAAGTAATACTTTTAATTTAATTGTAAATTATTTTATTTTATATAGGCTACAATTATATACTATGGATATACTATCAAATTTAAAAGGTATCATAATTTTGATATATACATAAATGTAAATGTATACATACATAAATATATAGAGAATGTAAATCTACATAATCACAGGTTATAACAATGCAATGTGTTATGCAGTTGTCTTACCGTGCAAAGCATCATCTGGTGATTGAGATCCTGATTGAGCCATGATGGGACAGAGGAGTTCAGGAGCAGATGCACTGCTCCTGAAGGAGACTTCAGCTCCTCTCGACTCTCTTTGCACGTGTTTCATTGTCCTCTGTATGTGTTTGAGAGGCTAATGCTCACTAATCACTGTTTTTTTAGAGGACACTACCTTTTATTCCTCTAGGGGGCGCCCGGTGGCTCATGAAACCATAACCTCAAATCACACGTTTTTTTAAGTTATTGAATTATTGTGTATCACTAATATTTTCTTTATTGGAAATTTAAAAGTATTAATATGATATAATACGAGAATGTGCTTTTGCAATTATTTTAAATCAGATATTTCAAGTAATCATAAATAATTGCAACAAATGCATGGTCTAATTTACACCTGAATAGTGACATTTGATATATTTAAGTGACATTTTATTTAAAATAAACGCCCAAGAGGTGAAACAGAATAATAATTATTTATCACACACAGTTGCTGACCAATCAGAGACAACTCCGGGCTTCCACGCCCCGCCCTCTGTTTCACTGGTTTCAGAGTGGCTTTGCTGCTCTGCGCTTATTCTGTTTTTATGACATAAATGCAGTAATCTCTCTTTCTCCCCACGTGTTTCAGCATGAGGTAAATATTGGCATCATTCCCTTCTTTTCCATAAATAGGCCAGATATGTGCCTATTTTCAGTCTAAAAACTCAGCAAGTTAGGTCAAATGTTAACGTTAAGTTAATGACCCATGTCCAGATATGACACACAAATTATGTATAAAATTATTTTAAAGGGTCAGTGTCTTTGATAGAGACAAGTGGCACAACAGAGTGTCTCAAAATAAGTCACATGACCAACAAAACATCCAGCATGTGTTTTTTCCTATTTAAAGTCGCCTGAACTCATATCAACTTTTAATACATGGGCAGATAATCTCTCCTGATCACCACCTAATCCGTCTAATAAAAACCCAATTCACTAACAAAAAAGTGCCATGGTACTGCCAATATTTTTGGGATATGTAATATGGATAGGTGTTGCATTTCAATTGTGATCATTTGGATGCAGTTTAAGTGCAATTAGTTGACTTTACACACACAAATCAAGGCTTTAAAAGAGCACTAATTATATGTCACGAGAACACTTTTCACAGGCCAGCAGCCAGGACCTTTAAAAAATGAAGGTGGAGTGAGAGGAAATAAGGAGGTATGAATTACAGATCATCTAACCACACCTCTTCTCAAAAATGACCAAGTTTATGAAGGTAAACGAGAAGAAATCTTCCTCCATTTCTCTACAGCTGATATCACTTTCTGCACAAGGTAGATTGTTCCTGAATTAAGCTTCTTTCTTTGTATATTAGTGTAGATGCTACCATAATATATATCTAGCTTTATGTTTTGGTAATCTTCTCACAACTGAATATTAGCATTTTTAGGACACATCTGTCCAAATATATGATAATTAGATCATAAAACTTAAAAATAATTGACTAATTAATCATGTTTTGCCCATTGTCATTATTATCTCAGTTTTAACCCTATAAAACCTACTGTATCATATTTGAGGGCCTCTGAAAAACTAAGTCAATAACAATAATATTATAATATTTTGTTTTACTTTTTTAGCTCATCCTGAAGCTAGCAGATTTTGGAAAAGATCTTCACAACACCTGATAAAAATAAAAAAGAACATCAGGATACAGCGGCAATCAGGAAAACTATGTTGCTGATATTTATCAGATGACGATCAAGACCGTCAGTCTTTCATGACTGTAATGATTTGTATTGTTCATTTGACAAAAAGCAATGATGACTTAAAATCTAAAATTGATGTATTTATTGCCTTTACTTATGAATGACATTATGCAACTCTGACGTCATTGGATAGTTTTTTAAGACATTGCCACCAGAGTGAGACAAAGCCAAATGAGAAACACTTCGGGATGGACAGCGCAACACACAATATGACATGACCTCAAGTGCATTTTTGCTTTGATAGGTTGGCGGTAATAAACATATTCAGGATGCAATTTGTATTAAAATGTTCTTTTGTTAGATTTTTTCCTGCCAAATGCATAAATGTAAATAATTTCTTGTTGACCATCCTTTGAAAAACACTTTGATGGTCAGGCAGAGGTCTGGCTGAAGTTCTCAGGTTTCTTTCTGTCTGATTACTGAAGGATGAAAAGGAAACATCCGTCTATCCGTTGACCCCAGGGTTGTTCAACTAAATCATGTTGCTCTGCCCTCAAGGCAAAGCAGCTGGTAAAAGCTCATCTTGCAAAACGCAAATTCTAACGAAAATGCAACCAGCCCAAACGTGGACTGTGTAAAAGCAATCAGAAAACAGCAAAAAATATAAGAACGTTTTGTTAACGTTATAAACCTTCAGTGTTTTAAATGTTTTAAAAATGCTTTTTATTGGTTAATGTGAATGCTAGAGAAAACAATAACGGAACGCTCCATTTAATCATTTTGCAAACATTATGGGAAGTAGTAAGTAGTAACATTTTAAAACAGAACGTATATCCATATAAAACTTTTCAGAAAAAGACATTACATGAACAATGTATAAATGATGTGTGTGTGTGTGTGTGTGTGTGTGTGTGTGTTTTGAGAGGTTTTGAGAATATTATTAAAGACGTAACTTTGAATGAACATTCTTTTAACAATAATAGGCCAATGCCCTGCAGAGTTTAGCTCCCACCCTGATCAAATACACCTGAGCAAGCTAATCAAGGTCTCCAGGATCGTTCACAGGTAGGTGAGTTTGATCAGAGTTGAAGCTAAACTCTGCAGGGCACTGGCCCTCCAGGGCAAGATTTGAGGAACCCTGCCTTAAAGGTATAGTTCACCCAAAAATGAAAATTACCCCACTCACCCTCAAACCATCCTAGGTGTATATGACTTTCTTCTTTCAGACGAATACAGTTACATTACATTAAAAAGAGTTACATTAAAAAATATTCTGTCTCTTCCAAGCTTTATTATGGCAGTGAATGGTGTTCAAGATTCTGAAGCAAAATAAAATCCATCCATCCATCATAAAAAGTGCCCCACACGGCTCCGGGGGGTAAATAAAGGCCTTCTGAAGTAAATTGAAGCATTTGTGTAAAAAAAAAAATCTCCATATTTAAAACTTTATAAATAATAATCTCTAGCTTCCGCTAACTGTCGTACGTGTGTTCACGAGAGGGTGGCGTTCCAGCGGATGAAGCAGGACGTAATGTCCGGTGAGAAATGACGAACTCGGAAGCGCAGAGGAGAGAGCAAAACAAAACACCAGTCACGAATTAGAAGTACAAAACAAGGAGTTTTATAAAGAAATATGCCGGCGGATTTCGATATAAGCCAAGAGGAGACTGGTTTTCCTTTGATGTAAACAAAGGATTCTCACCAGAGCTGACGCTACGCCTATGTCCCACTCTCTCGTCATCGCACGTATGACTGCTGGAGGAAGCTAGAGATTACGGTTTATAAAGTTTTAAATATGGTTAAATGCTTTGATTCACTTCAGAAGGCTTTTATTAACCCCCCGGAGCTATGTGGAGCACTTTTTATGATGTAAGTCACATACACCTAGGATGGCTTGAGGGTGAGTACGTTATTTTTGGGTGAACTATCCCTTTAAGGTCTATAACACAAGATGTACTAGCAATACAAAGTTTCAAACATTGTCCAGAATAGTTTAAGCTAGAAGAGGGAGGAATATATCCAAAACAGTATCATGAAAGAGTATGAAAACATGGGGACACTTGTTGATAGGGGTTCTGCGCCCCAGTACTTATGAAAGGCTAGAAACGCCCCTGATGTCCCATAACACATTTCACATTCTAACTCAGCCTGTTTACTGGGCTGTTTCCCAGGAGCGTGGGGACATTCTTGTGTTTTTCAGCACAGGCAGTGCTGAACCAGCTATCCTATGTCATGTGACCCCGCTGGCCTGAACATGCTGGGATAACAAGAGGCCCCTGACACCACCGCGGGATTGAGACCCAACACTATATATAGCACAAATGAGGGCTGAAGGTACATCTCCAAATACACCAGCTCTCTGGCCTGAAGATTAAGCGGGTTGGGGGAGATAGAAAAATAAATGAGGGGCAATAGCTTCAATCTCAGTATGACGCTATCATTTCTCACTTCTGTAGTGATTTTATTTCTTACATAAGTTTAAGACTGATAAGTGAAATTCATTTTACTTCCATATCCATAATAATGTATGGAAGTTGCTTGAGATGCGAGACATGCTTTTGCTGCCAATTTGTTGCATTATTATTATTATTACTATTATTATTGTTGATTTTAGTTGTTCATGTTGTTGTTGTTGTCCCACACATAGTTGTGGGAAAATCGTGCGGTGGCATTAGTGGTGCAAAAATTATACATTTCAGTTTTGTATGAATGGTGCTTTTTTTAAAATGAAGTTTATAATGTAATCAGGACAAGTTCATCAAAACATTATTTCCAAATTAGTGTCTTTTTAATTTGTAAAACATCTGACAACACATAAGCATCTCCACAGACTAGCCTACATGAAAACTGAGAAAATTTTAAACTCAAATATATAGAATCAGTATTTTTTTTATTTTTTATTAAAGAGCCTTTTCTTGTTTTCATGATCTACTGGCAGAGGAAAATACTAAGCACCAACATTGGTAATATTTACATTTTCCATAATTTTTTTTTTTTTACAGATTTTATAAGAGCTGTTAAGACTTGAAGACTGTAAACAGTGTGATGTGTTGAAATGATATTTAGTAGTTAAGGTCACTATTAATCATTTTTGTAGTGACATTCAACCCTAGCTGTACATTTCAACACTGGATTGCCACAAAAAGAATTAGAAAAAGAACAGACATGCATGGGTTACAAAATTATTTACATATTCAGTATGTGCATTGATGCATAATATTCAGTGGTTTAAAAGTGCATATATTGAATGTGATTGTAAAAATTTCTTGACAAAAATGGCATAACTTTTCAAGCCCCGTCATCTACCTCTCTCTTCTATAAGCATGTTCATTAAGAGCTGGACTGCAGATGGAGGAGAGCTGATGTCCTGTGCTGGATCTGTCCTGCTCTTGGTTTCATGACTAAAATATCCGTTCAGTTCAACAGACAGAGCGACCCAGTGTACGTCCTTCACCCAGAGCACAGCACGACAAAATACTGTCATCTTACACATCTTTCTAAACAAACAGAAACACAAAGAGTCAAATCAGAAAAAGAGTAACATTACAGGCTCATTCATTTTATTTTTTAGATTTTATTAACCAATTTACATGTCCTCATTCATCAGCATTCCACTGAATGGATTATATAGAATAAACAAATAATTATACATATTTTACATCTTTCGTTGTAAAATGAAGTTGTCATTATTTCACAATGTAGATTGTGACTTTTTTGAGAACATAAAGAATTTAAAATGACAGGTTGAAATAATATTTGAGAAAGTGACATCAAGAAAGTTGGAAGAAACTAGACATAAATATATTGTAATGAATACATAATTAACATTCAAATGTTAAATAAATAAACACACAACCCCAATTCCAGAAAAGTTGGGACGTTTTGTAAAATGCAATAAAATCAAAATTCTGTGGTTTGTTAACTGTCTTTAACATTCATTTAATTGGCAAAGGAACAATTAAAAGATTTCCCATGTTTTCACTGGCCAACTTGAATGTGTTTTGTATATATAAACAATTTTTTTAATTTTGATGGTTGCAACACACTCCAAAAAAGTTTGGACAGAGGCATAATAAAAGTGAAAAGGTTATAGAATATCCAAGTTAAACTGTTTTGAAACAGTCCAAAATAAGTAGGTGAACTGGTAATAGGTGAGGGTGTCATGATTGGGTTTACGGAGCATCCTGTCTTTGCCAGCAAAGCTGATCGTGGCTCATCACTTTGTGCCAAATTTCATGAGAGAAGTGTCAAACAAATCAAAAATCACATTTCTCAATGCAAAATCGCAAAGAATGTAGGTCTTTTACCAACTACCATACACAATTTTGTGAAAAGATTGAAGGAATCCAGAGAAATCTCAGTCGAATATGTGTGACCTTTGAGCTCTCAGATGGCATTGCATTAGAAACCATCATGCTGCGGTGTTAAATATAGCCACATGGGCTCAGGAGTACTTCGGAAAACCGCTGTCACTTAACACAGTTTGCAGCTGCATCAAGAAATGCAACTTGAATCTCTGTTACACAAGGAGAAAGCTATACATCAATTATAGGCAGAGACGCCAGCGAGTTCTCTGGGCCCGAGCTCATCTTAGATAGTCAAAAAGACAGTGGAAATGTGTGCTGTGCTCAGATGAGTCCACATTTGAACTTGTTTTTGGGGAAAACGGACATCAAATTGTCAGTCCCAAAGACGAAAGGGAACGTCCACACTTCAATCAGCGACAGATGCAAAAGCAAACGTCTGTCATGGAATATGGGTTCATCAGTGCAAACGGCATAGGTGACTGGCATATGTGTGAAGGTACCACTGACGTGGAGGCATACACTCTTAAAAATAAAGGTGCTTCAAAAGGTTCTTCAAGCGATGCCATAGAAGAACCTTTTTGTCTAAATGGTTCCATAAAGAACCTTTAACATCTGAAGAACCTTTCTGTTTCACAAAAGGTTATTTGGGGCGAAAGAAGGTTCTTCAGATTATAAAAAGGTAAGAAAGAGATGGTTCTTTAAAGAACCATCTCTTTCTTACCTTTTTATAATCTGAAGAACCTTCTTTCGCCCCAAATAACCTTTTGTGAAACAGAAAGGTTCTTCAGATGTTAAAGGTTCTTTATGGAACCATTTAGACAAAAAGGTTCTTCTATGGCATCGTGAAGCACCTTTATTTTTAAGAGTGTATATTGGGATTGTACAGAGACATATACTGCCATCAAAATGACAACTTTCATGGGAAGTGCATGGTTATTAGAGGAAGACAATACAACAGTGTGGTTTCGTAGACACGTGTGGATGTGACTGACTGGCCAGCAGATCTGTCTCCTATTGAAAATGTATGACCAGTCTTGAAAAGGAGAATCAGACAACAACGACTATGGACTGCTGAGCATCTGAAGTCTTGTATCAAGTGAGACTGGGCAAAAATGTTGCTTGCAAAACAAAAAATTAGCATCCTTAATTCCCAGATGATTAAAACGTGTAATTAAAAGGAAAAGTGGTAAACATGCTTCTGTCCCAACTTTTTTTGGAGTGTGTTGTAGCCATTAAAATCAACATTTGTTTATATTTACAAAATAAAATTAGTTTGCCCAGTGAAAGCATTGGCATTTTTTTCTTTGTAGTTTAGTCAATTAAATAAAGGTTAAAGAGAATGAACAAATAACATATTCTTGATTTTATGGCATTTCACAAAACGTCCCAACGTTTCTGGAATTGGGGTTGTATATAATTTAAAATAAAATAAAATATTTAGCCACAAATTGCATTTTTAAGAGATGAGATATGATTATATAAGACATGAGAGTATGAGTGACAGTATGTTACCGTGCTGAAATGCACAGCGCAGAAGATGGTGATGATGAGGATGCCGATGATGATGGAGGCAATGGACACACAGAGTGCCATCTTCCCTAAATGCCTCGAACCCTCATAATCTCCCTGATCATAACTGTTTCTGGACTGTAAAAGACATAAGATACATTCAAATTAACATATATACAGACACAAGACCACAAACTCTGTGTGTGTGTGTGTGTGTGTGTGTGTGTGTGTGTGTGTTTCCCTGTGTGATTACAAACAAATAGAGAGA